CCCCACGGGCTGGATTGGACCTACCCAGTACTAAGTGACTGATGGTCAGTTGATGTATATATTCCGGGGTAGATCTTCCCTAGGCCGGATTGTCCATATACAGTACTGAGTGATTGAGCATTTCGAGTGAGCACACGAGGCTTTCAGCATGGTGCATCACATACAACATGTGCATTGGCGTGTAGAAGTAGAGAAGTTATATTCTTCATATCATTTAGAATTGATCTATGCTACTGTATTGAGCTTAACTGTTGAACTTGAAAGCATGCCTACGTTTCTGCACTGTTATTTTTATATTGAGTTGTATTGGTTGAGTCCGTCACTACTTTCAGTCCAAATGTTAAATTTGTTACTTATTGAGTTGGTTGTACTCACACTACACCCTGCACCTCGTGTGCAAATCCGCGTGCTTTCGGTCACAGCGACTGCTGAGTTGTAGAGTCAGGATCTTCGAAGATTATCGAGGTAGCTGCCTGGCGTTAGCAGACATTGACTCTCTCTCCTTATCTTCATTTATGTTTTTGTTCTTATTCTCTAGACGTTGTATTAGACTATACGCTTGTATAGATGTTCATGTTTTTGGTGACACCTCCGTTATGGGAAAGATTTTGTACTGAGTTGCAAATTTTATTTTGTTTTTAAAAGTTTTTCCTTAAATATTAACCGCTTCCGTATTTTTCAAAGCTTTTGTTGTGTTGAAATGGTTGAGTAGTTGGCCTGCCTACTTCCACGATAGGCACCATCACGACGGTTGGGTTTTGGGTCGTGATAGGGCACATAGATGATATTTAATTAATTAATCAAGTCACTCAGCAAGTCATATCACTAAATATGTATAATCTTATGATCATAATACAGTCTAATCAATCTAGAGTCTTTCTTATGATATATACACACGTGGGCTAGTTAGTTTCACATGTGGCTTAGTTAGTTACGTTGGTTGTGCTTAGTTGTCATTAGCTTAGCTATCATTAGCCGTCTAATTATGCTTAGTTGGTTAGTTAGTTAGCTGATTGTATATATACAGTGGGTTAATAACATAATAGAGATTTGCGGTTATCATTTTCTCTATCAGCTCTTCTGAACATTCTCTCGAAGCTTCCACCATTGATGAGCTTGCTAGTTCAAGCTGCAGCTCACTGATTCTTAATTATTTGGGCATGGTAACAGAGCGGGCGATGAAGATCAAGAGCGCAAATTATTTTTGACTAGCAGATTCATTAAATCTGTGAATCAACTAGGAATTCCTCTTTTTCAATCACCTCACTTCAGCTATGGTGGAATCGGTGATTCCTTACACACATCCACTATACCTTGGTCCATCTGACTCTCCAGTAGTAGTTTTAGTCCCAGTAAAACTTACAGGATTTGAGAATTACAATCTCTGGAGCAGAACAATCAAGATCGTTGTTCTAGGGAAGCGGAACTAGGTTTTATGACTGGTACCTGTACCAAGGAGTCATGCACGGCATAATTGCAGAAATAATGGGAGACTTGTAATGCAATTGTCCTTTCAAGGCTTATGAAAACTATATCCACAGAGCTTCTTTGTGGAATTGCTTATGCATCCAACGCACACATTGTTTGGGAAGATTTGAGAGAGAGAGAGAGATTTGACAAGGTGAATCGCATGAGGATTTTCAGCTGCACAGAGCCATAGCCAATTTGTCACAAGGTACAGATTCTGTCTGTCTATTTCACTAAGCTAAAGAGCCTTTGGAATAAATATAATGCCTTAGTACCTGCTACCAATTCAAAGGAGTATGTTGAGAATCTTCAGCAACAAAGATTGTTGCAGTTCCTTAGTGGCTTGAATGACTCCTACGACCAAGCTAGAAGGTAAATTTTGTTGAGGTATGAAGAGTCTACTATTAACCAAGCATATGCTATGGTAATTGAGGATGAGTCACAACATGCTCCTAGCATAGGGTCTACAAGTGATAAAACTGACCCAATTGCTATGCAAGTTGGTAAGAATTAGAATTACAAAGGTAAAAACCATTTCAGCATACTGTGGACTTAAAGTCCACACAAAGGAAAATTGCTATAAAATCATTGGATACCCGGAGGATTTTAAAGGAAAGAAAAGATTTAATAATGCTAACACTACTGGGTACCAATATGGTCGTGGAAGTGGTAATCCTGGAGGACAGTTTGGTCGTGGTACACAGCAGCCTTTTAATCAATAGCCTTTCAATGCTGCTAATAATGCTTCTTCTCCAGCACAAGGTGTCTCAGGAAGTGATTTGCACAACACTCTTGCTGGAAAAGGACCATACTTCACAGAGGAGCAATACAGGCAGATTCTAGGATTGCTCAATAAAGAAACCTATGATGGTCAATCAAATAGTCAAGCTAACATGACAGGTATGACTATTAGTTTGATATCACACACAATTACAAAAGACTGGATCATAGATTCTGGTGCAACTCATCATATAGCATCTATTGAAATGGTATTAAATGATGACCCTAAGACCAAAAAATCACTGAGGATAAAGTCCATTTGCCAAGATTTCCAGTATTGTTCAAGCATTCCTATTTGGAAGAGAAGTAGTAGACAATGTGCTTTACATTCCTGATTTCAAATTCAACTTGCTATCAGTCTCCAAGTTAACTAGGCAACTTTCATGTTCTGTGAATTTTTTCCCTGATTTTGTATTGTTTCGGGATCTCTACGAGCCTATTTGGAAAGCCATCTTGGATTAGGATTTGGGTGTAATTGGGTGTAATTACACAGTTTGGCATGTTTGTTTGGCCAAGTAATTACTTGGTCAGCATGGAATTGGAGGTAATTGGAGGGGTGTAATTACACTCTCCAATTCTCAAGGGGGAGGTGAGAATTGGTGGTAATTACACTGTGTAATTACAAGGTTGCTTTTTAGTTTCTTTCCTTTTTTGTTTTTCTTTTAATTTATTTTTTTATAACTTTTTATTTTATTATTTTAAATTTTTAATTTTATTTTTACTTTTTAATTTCTTTTGAAATTTTAAAATAAATTTCTTTGTACATTATTTATCTTTTATTTCTCTATCTTTACTTCTTGTGATTTCATGTAATTGCATATATTTTATTTTTTATTTATTTAATTATTCTATTTTTTGAAACTACACCTCCTAATATTAGAAATAATGAGTCATTAATAAACTTGGCATATAATGAGTGATGCAATTAAAGTGGAACTTCGTTGTTAAATGTGGTTATAAACTTATCATGTTTCGTATCTTAAGTTGCAGTGGGACTTACTATTATTATGTTGGAATTTGACATAAGTTAAACTATTTTATTTTTTTGAATTTTTGAAATTGTGTTATATTCATGGTTCCAATTTACTTATTTTGCAGTATTGACTCACATTGCATTTTGTTCATTTTTTAGTTAGAATGGCATATTAGTTTTGTCAAACATTTGAATAATATTATGACACTATATTTATAAATATTAGTTTATTTTATCAAACATCAATCCCATGATGTTCTTACAAAACGTATATTTTTTTTAATTTTTGTAAGTATCTAAACTAAATATTATATATTTAAGTTATATATGTAAATTATTTTAACAATATTAGTTATAAATATATGATTATTAATGTATATTCACGAAAAAACATACATCTTAAATACCAAATATATTATTATTTATACTATAAAATCTTATAGGTATATATTTATTATATTAATTTTTAGTTTTGATAATTATTTAATTTAAAATTTAATCTAACTGTGTAATTACACTTGTGCAACCAAACAGTAAACTCGTAATTACACTGTAATTACACTATGACAAACAAACATGTCATCGTAATTACTTAACTGTGTAATTATTAGGCTATATAATTATTACCCTAGTAATTGCACCAATTCCAATTATAGAGTGGCTTTCCAAACACATGTTCAATGTCTTCAATGTCACTAGACTACCAACATATCCGTTGACAGATCCAATGTACTTAACATTATTTTTGTTTTCCATTCTTTTTATCATTTTCCTTAACCCAAAAAAAAAAAAACATATTATTATATGCTCAAGGAAAATAGTTTAAGTTTTTTTTTTGGTACAAAAGATAATATTTATATATATTAACTGCTGCATACAGAGAGTGGCCCATTACATGTGGCTGTCTTGCCATATTTAGTTAAACTATTTCTAAACAAAACTACATTAGTACTACTACTACCATTAGCATACAGCATAGTATTCCCATGGGTACTACTACTAGAGTCATCCATTGTTTGGCTTATATTTACATCCAAAAGGTGCTTTCTATCAGCTTCCAGAGCTTGATTGACAAAAGGAGGTGCCACATTATAAACATAGGGAGAAGTTAAATGAACAAAAAGTTTGGCTGCCTTTGCCAGTTGATCCGCGACCATATTCTGTTCTCTGTATGCATGTCGTACTGGCAGATTATTAAGCTGGTTGAGGAGGTACCTGCAATCATTTATCATATTGAAATGTGGAAAATTGTCAGTTTGTAATAAAGTAATAATCTGTTTAGCATCTAACTCAACTTCTATAGGCATCAAATGATGTTGTAAGGCTAAGGCCTTTGAGCAAAGCATATAATTCAGTTGATATTGTAGATCCCTTTTGTATGGCTTGTGCGAATCCCAGTATCCATTCCCCCTTGAATGACGGATTGCTCCTCCAATTCTTGTAGACACTAAGTATAAAATATATTTATACCATCATATTATTTAAAAGGTAATTGCAAGCTATCTTTTTTAGTAAACTAGTATTAATTGGTAACCTAGAATAAACTATAAGCAATTTATTATAACCTATAAGTAACATGTTAGATTACATTAATAATATAAGAAATTATTTACACTATCAAACATATAACTTAAATCCAAAGAAAAATATAAAGAACGAAAAAAAAAAGAAACTCGGCGCCAGATGGCATAAACTGCCTAGCAAATACATACACCAGTATATACATGTGTGAGTAAGCCAGAGATGGTTTTACTTTATATAGTTTGTAACGCCTCTATCATTTGCACTCATGCAAAAAAACCAGCAATTTTTTCCCATTCTTGTTCTTCCTCGTAGAAAAAGAAAAGAAATCTTGAAATTACAAATATGGTGGTTTCATCTAAGCCTATTTTTGAAAATTCTTCTCACATTAAAACATGCAAACCCTATACTTCTGATGATAATATTCCAGTGATAGACATGTTAGACCCTCAAGCTAAATTCCATAATATAAAAGCATGTCAAGAACTTGGATTCTTTAAGGTTGTCAATCATGATGTTCCTAAAGAAACAATGACCAAATTAGAAGGTGATGCTTTTAAGTTCTTTAATTTGCCGCAGTGTGAGAAGGACAAAGCTGGCCCTGCTAATCCTTTTGGTTATGGTAACAAAAGAATTGGCTCAAATGGTGATGTTGGTTGGATTGAATATCTTCTCTTTACTACAAATTCTGAACTCATTTCAGAGAAATCCGTTAATATTCCTGGAAATTCTCACCTTTCATAGTAAGTGTAACAAACTCTTGAAATTTCCGAATGTGTTGTTTTTTGACAAAACCAAGGACGTGTCTTCTACTATTTTTCCTTTTACCTAAGCAATGTATGTTATTTTTGTCAACGGGATATTGCCGTTAGCAGATCTCTTTCAGCAACCGTACTCTTTCTTTTAGTAAAAATACGAATATCGTTCCATGTACAAGCTCAATTTTCCATAAGTCATTTATTCGTATATTCACTCATGCGACTTTCTTGAGTTACTCTGCTGAAAAAATTCGGTTAATATTTAATGTGTGTGTCTATGTGTTTCGCCATGACTTTACTTGCAAACACCGCGCGCATCATTATTTGCAAGTTAAATAACTTGTCTGAATAATATTTTAAGTGAAATAATAATGATTTTCACCCACAAAACTGTAAACTATTTTCGAGTAAAATTCATGTTAACACAACTACAACATTGAAATACTTTTTATAAAAAAAAAATCTAACTTCAAATGTTATTTTTCAACTTTTATCAGATAGACGTCTATTTATAGGGTTTTTTTTCACTTTTAGCCCCTGCCAGAAACTAATTACATTCGATAGCCGAAAAAAAGTATAAAATTTGTATAATTTTTGTATATAACATACAGAATGTATATATATACAAAAAATATATATTTTTTCGGCTATTATTTTGAGAGCGGATATACAGTATCATTTTTCCCTATTTATATCTTTTGAAGGAGATGTTCTGCCTTCTTCGGTTTATAAATTTAGGATTTGAATATTATTACTTCCTCTATTCCAACTTATATAATACTCTTTTCTTTTTAGGCATTTCGAAAAAGAATGAGACGTTTCTTATATTTTTTTTTTGGTAATTAACTTATTTTATTAATCACCAAGTAGTAATTACAAAACTTTAGCATAGCTAACATAGCTTGCTATCTACCATATACTTTTTATACTCTACTACCTAGAAATATAAGCTATACACAAACGACTTTTTTCTAGGAGTAACTCTAACACTAACAACATAAGCTATTTCTTTTGTAATCTACTCCTATACTCTGCTTTTTTCTTCAAATATACGTTTATTTCTCTCAATCCAAATGTGGTAAGCAACTTCTGCATAAACCATTCTAAAGACCTGAGCATGCTGGGTTTTCCCATTGGCACATACGACTGACCATTGGATGAATTGCTGCCAATTGACAAACCCCAGGAATTGCTTCTCCATCCAGTTACACCTTTTTGTCCACACTTGCTGAGTAAATTCACATTGCCCAAATAGATGATCTCTTGTTTCCACTGCTTTTCTGCACATTACACATTGTATATCAACAATAATCTTCCAATTAGCTATCCTGTCAGAAGTCATCAATCTCTCATGCATCATCAGCCACATTATGAATTTTGCCTTTGGTCTTGCTGCATTATTAAACATCAATATTTTTCATTCCACCCTGATGTAGTCACCAAGCAAATGTAAGTATATTTGTCTGATTAGGCTTGTGTTGTGAGTTTGCATAAACTGTCTAGCTTTCAGTATTCCATTTGCCTCTATTACTTTCCTTACCATCCAACAAGCTTGCTGAGGTTTTGGCATCGTACTCATCTGTTGGTTCTTGATGTAGTATGTATGAATCCAGCGGATCCACAGCTTATCTTGCTTGTGAGCTAAATCCCAGCGATTTTTGGCAATGGCTGCTTTATTCCACAACTCCAGGTTAACAATGTTCAGTCCACCTCTTGCCTCAGGCAGGCACACTCTATCCCAGGCCAGCAAGGCCTTCTTTGTTATCTCATCTGAACCATACCAAATATAGGACCTGCATAGTCGCTCTACAATCTTGATCACTTTTGTTGCAAGAATGAATAACTGTGCCCAAAAAGACTGAATTCCAAACAGAACACTTTGGACTAACTGGACTCTTCCTGTATATGATAGAGTCTTAGCAGTCCAAGAAGTAATCCTTGTAGTCATTTTATCAATAAGTGGTTGCCACTGCATTATACTTAGTTTCTTTGTAGATAAAGGTATCCCTAAATATTTGAAAGGAAGTTCACCATTAGAGAGCCCCAGCATCTGAAGGATGTGTTGTTTATCTACCAAAGAAACCCCTCCAAAATAAGCTTCACTTTTGCTAAGGTTTGCTTGTAGTCCTGAAACATGGGTGAATTGATAAAAAATTTTGCTGCATTACTTGTACTGTCTTTAGATCACCTCTGGCAAATAATAATAAATTATCTACAAAGCTTAGGCGAGTGATCCCAAGCTTTGCACATCTAGGGTGATACTTAAAGTCCTTCTCCTGCTTCAGGCTAGCCAGATTCCTACTCAAATATTCCATTGCTATGGCAAACAAAAATGGAGACATAGGATTTCCCTGCCTCAATCCTTTAGCAGCATTAAAGGGCTTAGTTGCCTCACCATTAACTACAATAGAGTAGTTAACTGTCTGAACACATTCCATAACCCAAGATATGAATAGCTGAGGGAATCCTTGCTCTTCCATAACTTGCTTCATATATGGCCACTCGACAGAGTCATAGACTTTCTGGAGATCTATCTTTATCATGCATCTAGGAGATATATTCTTCCTAGTATAAGCCTCCACCAGTTCATGTGCCAGAAGGATATTATCTGCTAGCTTTCTCCCAGGTATAAACCTTGCTTGGGCTTCATTAATAATTGTACTAATGATGCCCTGCATTCTTGCTGCTAGAACCTTGGATATCATTTTGTAAAGGACAGTCCAACATGCTATAGGTCTAAACTCTTTAACAGTTTTAGGCTTAGACACCTTAGGGACCAAGGTTACGGCTATGCAGTTTATAGCTCTATACGGTTTTCCAGTGGTAAAGAACTCCATAACAGCTGCAATGACTTCATCTTTAATAACATGCCATGCTTTCTTGAAGAAATACGCATTATAGCCATCAACACCAGGTGCCTTGTCATTGTCAATAGAGCATAATCCTTCATAAATCTCTTCTGGAGTCACATCTCTGCATAACTGAATCCTTTGTTGTTGATTAAGTTTAGCTCCCTTACACATAACCCTTTTGTCTATAGCAGGAAGTGATTGGGCAGCAATGCCCATTAGTGATTTATAAAAATCTACTATCTCCCTTTGAATGCTTTCTGACTCAGTAATCCTGTTGCCAGTGATAGATTGCAATTCCACTATTTGCTTCATTTGGCTCCTCTCTTTCATTACAGCTGAGAAATATTTAGTATTATAGTCACCTAGTTGAATCCATTTTGCTCTGGCTTTTTGTCTCAAAGCTCCCTCTTCTATCAGATCCCATTTCTCTAAATTCTGAATCAACTCCTTTTCTTGCAGTAGCAGCTCAGAGGAACTACTTGTGTATATGCTTTTTTGGACCTGTTCAAGTTCAATTCTAGCTATCTCTATCTTCTGCCTAATGAACTTAAAATCCTCCACATTCAGTTTCCTCAGTGCTAACCTCAGTGCTTTTAATTTCATCCACAAATCCTGCATCTTCTGTCTGTGAAAACTTTGCTTTCAAATTTGCTACACTTCATATTTGAACCTCTCATGCTCAGCCCAGATATTGAAAAATTTGAATGGAATTTTCCTATTTCTGTGCTGATCATTCAAGGTTAATGTCATAGGAGCATGATCAGAAATAAATGGTAGTTCATACACAGTGGAGATATGTCCCCATTGCATCATCCATTCATACTTACCAAATATCTTACCAATTCTGCTCCATATCTTGTCACCACCATCTTTCTTGTTGGACCAAGTATAACAGTCACCTTCTCAAGTCAATTCACTAAGCTTCACATCTTGGATACATTTGCTGAAATCTTGAGTTTTAGCCTTACTGGATTTCCATGCATTCTATCTTGTAGCTGCAAAACAGCATTAAAATCTCCTCCAATCACCCATGGAATGGATGTCATTTGATCTATCTCTTTCAGGTTGTCCCATAGCTGCTTCCTTTGTTCAACTGTGTTAAAGCCATAGACTATAGACACTGCATATTCATGGTCATTTCTGATATTTGTGACAGCACAGTGCAGTACCTGTGCCTCTGCTTTAATCACCTTGACTAAGTAGTAATTAGTATCCCACAGAACCCATATTCTTCTATTGATTGCAGCATTATAATTGTTAGACATCTCCCACCCAGGGGCTATGTGGTGGCTTACTCCTCTAGCATTGTGCTCCTTTACTCTTGTTTCAATGTTCCCAACCAAACTAATGTTTATATTGTTTAGATAATTTTTCAGCTCCTTCCCCTTGTACCACTTATTAATACCCCTAACATTCCAGATTAACCACCTCATTGATTGAGTTTAGATCCCCCACCTCTATCATGGGGTAGAGTAGAGCTTCCACGAGCACCTGCTGTCCCACTTTTTAACACAACTAGTTTGCAAATCTGCCTCAGAGATGGGACATGGGTCTCAGTACAACCTGATCACTACTCCTTTTTCATCATTGTTGGTGATTCCTTGCAGGTAATAAAAACTTCATGTCTATAAACCAGACAATCCCCAATAAATTAATCACCAAATGTATTTTTAATAGGGGAACGCTAATTTTCACAACTTACATTCTAGTGATACTAGCAAATGTATAAGGGCACTAGGAAAGGCCGCACCTAAAGGGGTATGATGTAGATATTCTATCCTAATACAAGCATTAATGGCTGCTTTTATCATTCGAAATCATGACCTATAAGTCACAAAATAACAATAAGATCAGCTGTCAGAACTTACAGAGTCTAGTAGTACTAGTAGAAGACTTTCACAATAAATATACGTTGAATTATCACTATTTGCCATCCTTTTCTGATCCTTACAACAATTATAAACCCAATGTAATCTCGCAAGTGAGGTCTGGGGAAGGTAGTATGTACACAGCCTTTTTCCAACCTTATGAAGGTAAAAAAAAAACTGTTTTCGATAAACCTTTGACTCACTATTCGCTGTCCTTTTCTGATCCTTGTGTCATAAAAAGAATTTAAATAAAAAAAATAATAAAATATCTTAGCTTATCAAGAATTTTTAATCCTAGAAAATGTTTCTCTTTCTTTTTTCCTTTCCTCCCGACGTGGATTCTAGCTAGCGTTTGGACATAGATTTGATTGAAACTTGAAAAAAGAGTTTTTGAAGTTGTGTTGAAAAATAATTTTTGAAAGTTGAAGACATGTATTTTATTTGAAGAAAAGTTGAAGTTTTGTGAGTGGATCGGAAGAAAAAAGTTCACTCAAAAACTGCCCTAAATCAGTTTTTGGGAACTTGAAAATTTTTGAGGTTTTTTTTCCAAAACATGATCATATTCCATAAACAAACAATGTTTCAAAAAAAAAAATAAAGCCAAAATCTATGGCCAAACTAGAGCTTAGTTCTTGCTTATTCTTTACATCCCAAGTCTATGACGGTTTAGTTTCTTTCTTCTGTTTTTCTTTCTTTTCCCTCTTACAATAATTATTGTTTTTAACTTTTATGCACTAACAAAGCAAAAATATTTATACAATCAGATTATTTATATGACAATTACAAGTAAATATCTATATAAGCACAAATTTTTTTAAATGGTAGTAATCTTCTATACTTGGTTAATTAACTACGCTGATTTGGTAAAATACTTTTAATGTTATCAGTGTATACAACTTAAATACTTTTATCTATTTGAAATTTTGGGGTTTATTTTAACTTTGTTACTATGTGGTTTAATGGCAGGTAATGACTAATGGGGGATTTAGGAGTGTAAGGCACAGAGTGTTGGCGAACAGTTTGAAATCAAGGTTATCAATGATCTATTTTGGTGGACCGCCTTTGAGTGAAAAAATAGCACCTTTATCTTGTTTAATGGAGGAAGGAGAAGAAAGTTTGTACAAGGAATTTACATGGGGTGAATACAAGAAATCAGCCTACTTGACAAGGTTGGGTGATAATAGGCTAGGACTGTTTGAGAAAAATATTAAAGTACGACAATATGGTCATAATTTGCTCATTTAGGTAGGATTTTGTCATCCAATAGACAGGGTTGGAAAGATTTTGGCCTTGGTTGGAACCCAGAAAATGTCACGATCCCAGTTCACCCTCCATGAACATGTCGTGATGGCACCTAGTTCCTACAACTAGGTAAGCCTAATAGTGCGGAATAACAAATTAAAATTTGCGGAATAATTAATTAAAACTGAACATACGGAAATAACAACTGTATATAAGGCCACTCGGCCTAAACAACTCAAAAATATGCGGAAGTCTACAACTAAATTCCAAAACCCGGAAACTCACGGGAAACACAGGCTAATAGAATGTAGTGATATGCTCTACACCAGAATGTCTAACAACATGAAAAGAAAGAAAGGAACTATCTGCTAAAGCCGGAATAGAGTAGAAACTCCTGGTCTGCGGACGTAGCAGATATACCTCAAGTCTCAGCTAGAACTCTCCACCACGAGGATGATACACCTGGGAGGAAGTACCTGGATCTGCACATGAAAAACATGCGCAGGAAGGGCATGAGTACACCACAGCGGTACTCACTAATCGCCAAGCCTAACCTCGGTTGGGTAGTGACGAGGAAGGTCAGGGCCCTACTGAGATAACATAATAAATAATGAGATAACAGAAACAGTTTAAATAAAGTCTACAACGAGAATTCTAAACCAGGTAAATAAGAAAGAACAATAATAGAAAGCAAGGTACAATACAAGGAATAATATTATTCTATTCTACAATAATAGAATAATAGCCGGGGATCTCTTGGTATCCCGAGGATCTCTTGGTATCCTCATCATATACACTAGGGATCTCTTGGTATCCCGAGGATCTCTTGGTATCCTCATCATACACACTAGGGATCTCTTGGTATCCCGAGGATCTCTTGGTATCCTCATCATATACACTAGGGATCTCTTGGTATCCTCATCATATACACTAGGGATCTCTTGGTATCCCGAGGATCTCTTGGTATCCTCATCATATACACTAGGGATCTCTCGGTATCCCGAGGATCTCTTGGAATCCTCAATAAGTAAGCAGGGGATCTCTTGGTATCCCAGTATATATATAGAAACACATGTGCCAGGGATCTCTTGGTATCCCGCACCCTCAGTCCAGAATATCTCAAGTACAGGGGGATCTCCCCGGAAGCCGTCCCGTAGTCCCAAATTATACACACAACCACAAGCAACTCATAATCTCAGAATAATGCTAAAAGATCAGTACAAGAAATAGTAAATTTTAGCCTAACATGCTCCACAGAGTACAAATAGCACAGCTAAATAATTAGCAAGTAAGCCAGATAAACATGAGTCTCTAAGCTAGCACAGGTATAAACTTACAGTTTAAAATGAACAAGTAAACATGAAATCTCAATTTAAATACTTCAAGTAGAAACGGGTTTATAACAATTAGCTCAAGTACGCGCTCGTCACCTCACGTACGAGGCATTCAAATATTCAAAGATCATGTCCTAAAGGGAAAAGTCCCCCACACAAGGTTAGACAAGCCACTTACCTCGAATCGGCTCAATATCAGCTAGAAACCACGCTCTTGCCACGAGTATCCGACTCAAAATGGCTCAAATCTATTCAATTCAATTACACATCGTAAATAACATCGCAAACACCTGGTTTTGCTAATAAATTCAAAGCTACGACGTAAAATTAGGTGAAATGACCAAAATGCCCTTCAGGCCAACGTCTCGGAATCGAATAATTTTTATATTTTTAGAACCCTCGTACTCTCACGAGTCTAACCATATAAAAATCTCCCAAATCGGAGGTCAAATGCCCACTCAAAACTCAATAGTTTAGGCAATGAAGTTTTACCCCAAATTATCCAATTTTTTGATCCTAAATTCGAATTCCAATGATGTATTTAACTATAAAATGATGAAATATTACAAAAAGGGACTAAAGAAACGTTACCCAGTGATCTTCTCTTCGAAACCCACTCAAAATCGCCTAAAACCGAGCTCTCAATTGATTTCTCCAACTTATGAAATTAAAACCCTCGAATTTCTATATATGTACAGTGAATGCCGCTTCTGCGGTCTAGGGACCGCTTCTGCGGTCCCGCCTATGCGAAACACTGGCCGTTTCTGTGGCTTCTTTTAAAAGGTCAGACCTCCGCTTCTGCGAATAAATAACCGCTTCTGCGGTTCCTGAGTGGGGGGGACCAAACTCGCTTCTGCGATGAGCGAGCCGCTTCTGCGGTTCCCAAGCCGCAGAAGCGAAAATACCAGAAGGAACAAAATACTAGCTGCTGCAAACTTAGAAATTTTCCTCCGTTAACCACTCAGAATCATCCCGAAGCCCCCGGGACCTCAACCAAAAGCACCAATACCACCTAATACCTTATTCAAACTTGTACCAATCTTGAAAACACCTAAAACAATGCCGGAAACCCGAATTAATCAAAGATTCAAGCCTAAGAACTTCAAATTCCTTCCAAATACGATTTCGATCAAAAACCTAACCAAAACACGTCCAAATGACCTGAAATTTTGCACACACATCCCAAATGACATGACGGAGCTACTGCAACTTCCGGAATTCCAATCCGACCCTCGGATCAAAAACTCACTATCGAAGCGGAAACTTCAAAAATTCAAACTTCGGCATTTCAAGTCTAAATGAGCTACGGACTTCCAAAATACATTCCGAACATGCTCCCAACCCCGAAATCACCTAACGGAGCTAACGGAACCATCGGATTTCCATTCCAAGGTTGTCTTCACACTGTTTCGACTTCGGACCATTTTTCAACACTTAAGCTCTCATTTAGGGACTTAGTATCCCAAAACACTCTGAATCCTAACACCGAACATCCCGGCAAACCAAAATAGCAGAAATGAACTTAGGGGAAGCAGTTAAGGGGGGATCGGGGCGTAAATTCCAAAAACGACCGGCCGGGTCGTTACATCCTCCTACACTTAAACATTTGTTCGTCCTCGAACGAGCATAGAGAACTTACCTGAAGTAGTGAAAAGATGAGGGTACTGGCTGCGCATATCCCGCTCGGTCTCCCAAGTCGCCTCCTTGGCCGGCTGACCCCGCCACTGAACCTTCACTGAAGCAATGTTCTTTGACCTCAGCTTCCTGATCTGTCTGTCCAATATAGCCACTGGCTCCTCAACATAGGATAGATCTTTGTCCAACTTGACTGAACTGAAACCCAACACATGCGACGGATTACCGTGATACCTCCGGAGCATCGAAACATGAAATACCGGATGAACTCCGGCCAAATTGGGAGGCAAGGCAAGCTCATAGGCAACCTCCCCAAATCGCCGCAAGATCTCAAAAGGGCCAATAAACCTCGGACTCAACTTTCCTTTCTTCCCAAACCTCATGACGCCTTTCATAGGCGAGACCCGAAGCAGAACCCGCTCACCAACCATATATGAAACATCACGAACGTTCCTGTCCGCGTAACTCTTCTGTCTGGACTGGGCTGTACGGGGTCTATCCTGAATCGTCTTAACCTTCTCCAATGCATCCTGTACTAACTCTGTGCCCAATAGCCTGGCCTCACCCGGCTCAAACCAACCCACCGGAGATCTACACCTCCTACCATATAAAGCCTCATACGGCGTCATCTGAATGCTGGACTGATAACTATCGTTGTAAGCAAACTCCGCCAGTGGCAAGAAATGATCCCAAGACCCTCCAGTCCCATGATTCAATGTTTAACTCCTCATGCACCTTACCGTGCTACCACAACTCAGTTGAGCACACCAGCTCGATCAATTCTGAAGATATTCCTTTTTATTCAAGCAAATAAGCCTTAGAGCCCAATTCCAACGTCCGAAATTTTATGCCCGACCTGTTTCCAGCATATGATCACCATAACAATCACTACACGCTATACCCAAACATGGCTGCATAACTTGCTGAAGTTCACACCTCGCATCACTTTATTCACCGGACCACAGTAACATTTCCTGATCGACTTAGTCAAAAATTCCACGAGTCTGATGCTCTCATTGCACCCCATGACATGCACAGGCCTCACTCTAACTCTTGCAAGGCCGTCACAACGGAGAGATGTGCGGAAATTCATAATCGACTGCCGAGTCAACCAATCACTGAGTCTATACTCCTGACAAGAAGCATTACCTCATTCTGAACCAATTAATGGTCTTTGCCTCTTAATAGATATTTCACGTAATCAGATTCCACTGATCCTAAATCCAACAATCTCGTCTCACCCAGTAAGAATGCTCAGACAATAAGCCACCCCAACATGACCAAAAGTCTCATATGATGTCACAATGCGCCAATAGGCTACCAATTAGAATGCGATACAAAAAAAGGAAAGTGAACTCTGAAAAGAAATTTCAATTACCCCGCTCGCGAATCATACATGCGACGCGGGCGCGCAGCTAATATGAGCCTCCTCTAGAAAATAGGAAACATAACACAATAAACAGATATGGGAAACTGTACTGAACATCACACTTGTTGCGGCGTGCAACCCGATCCGAGCAATCATAACCATGGCGGCATGCCACTCGATCCAAATAACATACCCGTGGCGGCGTGCCACCCGATCCACACATGGAGCTCACATAATGAGATGTACATCGAGCTAAATTGCTCATTACAACAAGATACTAAGCATCAGTCATAACCATGCTAAGTGTATAACACCATTCCCTGGGGAGACATATAACGCTTAATCCACAAACTCGGGCACAACTGAGGTGCGATACAAGATCTGAATCTCAAGAGCCATTCTGCTCATATAACATCATCGCCACGCGGAACTTCAACACATAAAAATTTACCAAGCCGTCTCATAACTCATACGACGCAATACATCATTACCTGGAATAGCTGATGACAAAATAACACCCCGACTGTTCCTCCATAAGGAACGCTCGCTGAAACAAACACAACTGGCCTGATATAAAGCCCTGCTCACATATAAATCAATCCACTGATCTCAAGCCGATTTCTGATTGCACCAACTTGGCTAATAACCTTTCAAAGGTCCATAGTAACCCCCTTTCCTCATAACACAT